ACGGCCTTGCAAAAAACGGAAAATTAATACTGGTTCATTACAATACATACTTCTTGGCAGTCATCTCAATTTCCATAGAAACCAAGATTTTTACAAAAATGTTAATATCGCATTTTTGATACAATACATCTATGTTGTTAATAAAATTCTATTTTCTCAAAAACAGTACAAGATATCAACTGATATAGGATATACCCTTTTTTAAGCAAAGTGAGAGAGGAATCGAACTATGAAAGAAAAATGTCTTTGGCAACGCTGTCAAAGATGTATGAATTTAAATGGATAATTCCGTCTGCTCCTGAATAATCCAGGCGTATTGAATATCAGTTTAAACTTGGAAATGAACATTACCATGAGTTTCTTTAATTGCCCAAATTTCATTGTTGTCATGATAACTACTTAGAAGTTATAATTGCAATTTGTTTTTCAAACTTCTTTCTTTGAAGGCGAATAACTCCACAACGAAGCCCGATAGGATTTTTTTTTATGAAGAACTGCAACTATTTTGCCGTCCCCTATATATCTCTACATTTTTGACATGAAATTTCCAGACACCCTGTATAATTGCTGACTGTTGCTTTGACTATTTCCAAAATATTTTGGTTTAGTTGCTGACCGTCCACAATGGATAAAGTCAAGATTGTCAAGGAACAAACAAATGCACATTTATTCGTATACTTTTCCGCTATTTAATTTACCATATTTAAATATTTTATCAATAAAGAAATTCTTGAAAGATGTTCGATAATAACCACATCGTGTTCCAAACAAAGGACATTTTTTTAAATAAGTTTTTCTATGAAGGAATATTTTTATGATCCAGAGGAAGTCCTAATGTGACCGCCACATAGTTCTTCGTATAGGGGACTCTGAAAGGCAACGTAACAAAAAACGACCTAATAATATTGTAACGAAGTGATTTTTAGCCAGGGTTTTGAGATACCCTGAACTGTTATTTTCTTTTCAATTTCATTTAAAAATAAGGTCTAATATAGCACCTCCATTTGCATCTTCAGCACCGTCAGTGAAGTCAGGCTACAGCCACCGGCCAGCAAGGGCAGTGCAGTCCCTCACCAGCCCCAGTAATAGAAATATTATCGTTTGCAGTAAGTACGAGTATTCCAAGTCCAGGTCGTGAAGACTGCCCAACCGTCAGCGTTCACCGTAAATACTTAGGAGTTGAACTGAATTAGAAATTCAGTTCACATCCACCTATCGCAACGAAAAGTCCAGTCCGTCAGCAACTCAAGGAAAATCGCCGTTTGGTAAGATCTTTCCAAATTCAGATTGTGAAGACTGCGCAGTCGCCACCCTTCGCCGTAGAAGCTTAGGAGTTGAGCGGAATTAGGAATTCATGCACTCATGCAGTTCACATCCACCCGTCGCATCAAGCACGACTGTCCAACAAGCGTCTAGCCACTGAAGTAAGTTTTGCGCATACCTAATAAGCAAGTCTCTTAAGGTAACCGGAAACCTGGCCAAGTAATTCTGATTCAGAGTTAGTTCTGTTCCACCGCTTCTGCAGAACAAACGTACCAAGCAAATAGTAGAAGTGAATAAAACGTTTAGTTATAGACTTGGTTACTGTCTATTTTGTTTTAATACTTTACTTTTCAGCCCTGTCAGCCGCCCGTCAGTCCTGAGGAGCCCTGTTGTGATTTGCCTTTAGTCGGGTTGCCACATCTTTGTTTTACCGTTTCCAGAATGACATAGTCAACTGTAGTTTTATAATAGAAATAGTTTAGGACTGTATACAGGGTGGTCCGAATTTTATGCAGGAAACTTCGAGGGCAGATAGACCTCTTTAAAATAATAGGTGTTTGCCTCATAAACATTGCTCTGAAATGATTTTTTGTTTGTATCTCTGGAATCTATTAACCGATCTCAATAAAATTTGATACAGATAATGTATGACAGGAGGTCTTGCATTCCCTAAAATATGAGCTCCAAAGGTTTAACCAGTAGTGTACAACTGGACAGGTGTCGCCCTCTTTTTGTAAAAAAAAACCTACGCCACTGTATTTTTTACAAGTTATTATAATGGATTTATATTCTAATGCACTAAAAACGTAAAAATGGTAACTTTAATTTTTTCCCTAAGATTTGCCGTTCTCAAGTTATTCATACCAATACAATACCCTGGTGACAGACACTTCTAACCATAATATTACAAGAATATTTATATTTATGCTTAAAAGTAAGTGTAATTTGTAAGCAGATCAACAAAATTCTTTACACATCACCTGTGAGGTAGTGTTCCTACTTCCTAGTGTGTTTTAATTTCCCCTGGAGGCCTAATCCACTATCTTTACAAATAATAAAAATTTAAATTAAAAGTAATAATAAAAATTCATTTACCAAGCAACAACAATTAAACAAGAAACGAAATTAACGTATTTACAATTGTTCAAAATGCGATCCATCCACAACGATACATTTCTGACATCTTCTATTAATGGAACTAATTGAAGCTAACATCATGTGGTGGTTTCCTTTCAATTCATTACACCCGTCTTCTATTCTCTGCAGTAGTCTTGTATCTATTGGAGTAGAGTAAATTTTACTTTTCAGATAGGTAATCCCAAACACAGAAGTCCAGGGGGTTTAGATCTAGCGATCTGGCTGGCCAAGACACTGAAGCCCCTGCACTATTTGGTCTTCTACCTATCCATCGTCCCCATATAATTTTCATTAAGCCATACTTGTATTATTCTTCTAAAATGCTCAGGAGCACCATCCATTTGCATCCAGTTATTTTGTGGTATATTTAATGGAACATCCTCTAATAATTCAAATAAATGGTTTTCTAGAGTTTAGAAATGATTGGAAATTTAGATGGAGTAGCAAGAAGAAAAGTCCACAAACTTTATTGCAAATTCACAGAAAATTCGTCTTGAAAAGATCTTGTCCGAATTTCATGAGGATTTTCTTGTGACCAAATATTGTGAAAATTTACTACCCCTCGCCTTGTGAACGTAGCCTCATCGATCCAAAGTATTTCTAGTAAGAATCTGCATCTCCTGGAAATAAATTTCCTTATGTAGAACTTTTCAAATTTTCGATTTACTCACCCCAAGTTGCCGAGACGTTCTTTAATCCAAAAAGATGAAAGCGACGGGTCTAAAAAATGTTGTTGATGTGCTTACAAATTGCATTTACTTTTGCATAAACATAAATACTATTGTAATATTATGGTTAGAAGTGTCTGCCACAAGGGGATTGTATTAGTATGAATAACTTGAGAACGGTGAAATTTAGGGAAAAAATTCAAGTTACCTATTATACGTATCTTGTGCATTAGAATATAAATCCGTTACAATAACTTGTAAAAAATACAGTGGCGTATGTTTTTTTTATAAAAAGGGGGGTGATTATGTCCAGTTGTACACTACTGGTTGAACCTTTCGAGCTCATATTTTAGTGAATACAAGGCCTACTGTCATACATTATCTGTACCAAATTTTATTGAGATTGGTTAATAGATTCCGGAGATATAAACTAAAAATCAATTTTTTTTAACAACTTCAACACCCTGTATCTCTAACACGAGGCCGTTCCAGACCTATGTTTATAGGGCAAACACCTATTATTTTAAGGAGATCTATCTGCCCTCGAAGTTTTCTGCATAAAATTCGGACCACCCTGTATAGAATAAATAACCTTTAATAAATGTAAATACTTATAAAGTGTAACTTTTATTCCTATGTGAAGTATAACTGTAGACCCTGGATACAGTGTCATCACTGTAGCTGCCTGTGTAGTGGTATTCCTGCATTGTAAACAGAAACTGGCGCCCAAGTAACCGCCACCACTCAAGCGTCACAGTGATTGACGAACTTCGCCGCCGACAAACAAAGGAAGCAATAACACTACAATGTACATGACCTAACATAAGAGAAAAATATTTACTAGTTTTAATATTTAAGAACGAAGTTAATACTATCAGGGGTGATTAACAGGACATTAAAAAAAATTGTTTGGAATATAGGGATGGATGCATTATAAAACACTTTTTATAGTAATATATTATTTGTTAATAAGGAAATTAAAGATGTCTTTAGTAAATTTAACAGCGTAAATGTACCCACGCACTGGTTTCATGGCAGTCTTGACTATATAGACTTGACCAAAATATTGTGTAAACTGTCAGAACAAACATATGAGATGTATATTGTATCTAGTAAAAAAAAGTTTGGTTTCATTTGAATTCATTTCTTTGAGATCATAAGAAAAATTCCTAAAGGTTTAATCTGTACAATTTTCCTAGACAAGGAGTGGAATGGTCCTGTACACAATAAAAAATACATTTTAAGTTTACCTTATCTAAGGCATAAAAAATAAGCAGGTACCTATAGGTACAGATACTGATATCCTTACTATCTTCAGCCTCATTCCTCGATTATTATACGAAATCATTACCATTAACAATCATTCGTCACTATTTATGCCTATTTAGAAACAACACTTTTCAGAACGCTGAATTTTAAAAGATCTCTACTGGAAAAAATTTACAAATGAAATTTGAAACAAACAATTTATAGGGAAATGGTAAGTAATTCCTAAATTATGTTGGATCTTGCGTTCCACATTATGAGACAATAAACAGTTTACCTCTAATTTAATAGTAATAATATTATTAATTGCAATATATAGCAAGTATAAATGTAGAAATCATATTAAAAAAATACATACAAATTAAATAAAACTAACAAAAAAATTAGACAAATGTTCTTATTTTATTAATTTAATATCCTATAAAATAAAATAATTTAAAGAACGTTATTTCATTAAGTATATTATTTTATTTACAAAAATGCAGTAATGCTGTAAGAAAAATTTGGTTGAGCAGCATTTAATATAAACATTATTAACTCCACATATTTTTGAGCAAATGTAAACTCAGTGTTTACCCTGTAAACATTTTAGAAAATGCAACCAAGATTTGCTTAGGGACCAATTCCTAATTGGCAACGGGTCGCGTCGCTGCACAACTCATCTTATTCTTCTTCTTCTACCTTGTTCCGTTCCAGCAATTTGGAAAGGATTAGAAGAACGTTGGATTGTTGAAGCAAATTGACAGACGTGCTCCCATGTGAGAATTGTCCGTAAAGTTTGCGTTGTTTACCACAGCAGTAAATATAATTTTAAAAGATCTTATTTATATTTCACAATTCAACAAGCACTCGTATTTTTTTGTCTTTATGGAACTAGTAAATATTATTATTATTTTAACGCAAGCTAAGCAATTTTAAGGATGCTGCTTCATAGTACAAAATTATTTGTTTACATAATATTTTTATGTTCAAAATATTAACATATGGAAATGACTGATAAAGTTAAGACGCAAGATTAATTTTCTACTCGCAATAATACCTAATATAAAATATACACAAATTCATGCTAGTGATTGACAATATTATGGTGTGTATTAACTACTTCAGTCATTTCATATTACTCTGAAAACTAAATCCTAGTGACTATCTATTTAATACAAAAATGAGTCTTCTATGTTGATATTGTGTATGGAGGTGGTGAAGAATGAACCCTTGGCAAATTAGTAGAATTGGTGGTTTCGCTTGTAACTTCAACGGTAGCAGGGACGTCAATATCTTCAGTTTTTATCACATCTTCATATTTTGGTGGCGCATCCGCATAATTTTCTGAAATTACAATAAACTTTTTATGTGTTACATTACATGTTATGTATTCGTTAAGTGTTTTAAACGTTTGGTATTCCCTTCGTTTACAGTATAGGGTGCATATTACAACAAAGAGCGCATACTACTCATCCCAATTTAAGAGTATTTTCTTATACAGACATTTGTCGTCGAAGCACTCATTTTTGAGTTGAGGTTGTTAAAATTAAAAAAAATAAGCATTCTACATATCTTCTGAATAGATGAAGAGATTAGCACCATTTTTTTAAGATTTAGATAATGTAGAATTTATTTAAAAGATTATACAAAATATGTTCAGAATGAAATCTCTAGGTCTCAAAATATAACAAACTTATATTAGAAAATATTAATAATAGTAGTAATATAGGGCATATCACATGTAATAATATAAATAATATAAATTTATTATTATAGTTATATTTAGAAATGATTCGGGTTTGATGATGAGCTGAATTAAACTTATACTTATGTATAAATATGAAAAAAATAAATCAAAAACCTTAAAAATCTTATATAAAAAAAGGATGGTGAACCGTTACTGTTCCCTTTTATAGAATTTAAAAATATTTGTTAGGTGGTTGTTTATTTAATCCATAGGTAAAACTATTAAATATACCTATTTATTTTAAAAAATGATTAAGTAGCCGGTATCTGCCAAATCACAATTAAATAAAGTCTCTTCGGTCTAGAAAAAGAAACTTCAAGATTATATATGTTCATATAGATGCAAGTAAATCTATCCTTAATTCAAGTAGTATTTGATCAGTCTAAGTGTATTCAAGAAAGATTTCCAGATTTGTTAAATACATCATTGATCAGTAATCATATATATTTCTAAAAAACGTCGCATAAAAAATATTTCTTCAGGGTAAAACATTGAATCGCCATCTTCAGTATATCGACAAGGTAATTATACGTAGGCAAATAATAAATGACATTACAGGCATAACAAATAGAGTTTAAAATATACTTTAGGTACGACAAATTGAAAAAATCGGAGTGTACTCCTAATGATATTCAGTGTATAGCATGTCATATGATAAATATTCTGCAATCATTAGTTAAAAATGGTTTCCCTTGGCACTTTCTAAAGTATGTCAATCGCAACAAGTCAGATGGTTTAATAAAGAACTCAAATATGTTTTTTACTAAACATTCGGTATATGTGAATCTACTCTATTGATAAATAATTCACACAAAATCCATTAAAACGTCTAAAGAAAATACTTATCATAATTTCATCATTAACTCAATACACACAATAGACAATAAAATAAAAAATGCCTAGAAAATCATAAACTGTGACATTCAAAGAATTTAAATAAAAATAATAAAAACGTTATTGATCCTGAAGGTTTTGTAGAGTATTTTGCGATAGTGTAGCATAGTGTAACATTTTAATAACTTCTCTAGCATCTACTTACTGATCTGAGTAGTTCATGTTTTCAGGAAGTAGCTTTTGCCGATATATTAAATCATAAAATCACATAAACATCCCATCGTCTGCTACTTTTAAAAAGTAAATGAAACAATGTGTCTGTGTTAATAATAAATTTAGTAAATTTAAAAATATAAAACAGGGGGAACCCCACGGATCTGTCTTGGGGCCACTTCTGCTTATAGTATACGTAAATGATCTATTTTGCTGTCTCTTTCCATATAAATTAGTTATATTTACAGAGGATGCAAAATAAATTATTAATACTACTAAAAAACTCGTCTTAAATAGAAATTCACAATTTAATTGTATCAACAAATAATAAAATAGTACAAAGTAAATGCGTTAAATTCCTGGGTATTCACATTGATGATACAGTGAAGTGGACTTAACACAGCACTGATACGAAATAAATTGTCCAGCTGCCTTTATCTATTAAGACAGCTTAAAAGTATGCTGCACATAAGTACCCTGTTATCTGAATAATAACCGCTGATTCATTCCCAAATCAGTTATAATGTAATCTGATGAGAGACTATAAAAAACTTTAGGATGCAAAAACAAGCTATAAGAGTTTTTGCTAATTAAAGTAATTGAGAACATTGTAAATCGTTATTCAAACATTTTAAATTATGACCATGTTTGTATATTTTTCTCTTACAGAAAATGATAAAACAAAAATAGCATTCAAACTGCTGCCGAGAGGCATCAGTAAGTAAGTATCAATATCAGTATTAAAGTTGGCAAATCTGATTTTTTATAGTGCCATTTTTCAAATCAAACAAAAAATCTAGTGATGTAAATATGTATAACAATTTGGTTCTTTGAAAACAGCTACATTTACATTCATTTAGAGGACTTTAAAATCGTATCTTACTGAACACCGTTTTTATACTGTAGGAGAATTTGCGAGGACTGTTAGAGCTAAATGATTATATTTTTGTATTGAAATCTCTGTAATTAATATAATTAGCTTTGTGGCGTTATTACTAAGTAATTTTCATGAATGTTTAATATTATTATTCTTGTTTTGATCTCTGTGTTGCTTTGAATCATATTCTAATTTTTGACTTACTACTATTATTTATGTAAACTATGTAGCCAATATATCTCTCTACCATTGGATAATGTTTAATGTGAAATTCTGAAACAGATATTTCAGAATTTATCACTTTGTGCTTTTTAATTTTATTGCCTTGTTCATAACCAGTAAATTGGCAGAGCCAATAAAAAAAATTAGAAGCTCGTGAAAAAAAGATTGATGAATTATCTGCTAAATTAGACGTGTACCAGTTTCAACAATCGTCTCTCTGCAAACCTGCTAACGAACTCCATGCCGGAAACAAACAGAAAATCATTTATGAGTCCCTAAAACGATTCAACACACAATACTTTAACTAAAGCGATGGAAATGTATTCAACTGAAGATACTGATATAGTTGAAAAGTGATAAAAATTTCCATCGGTTGTGTTCCATATTATATTCCTATCACTCGACTGGGTTCACAATCTAGAAATATTAAAACCAAAGTGCAATTAGGAAATCCCGAAATTATAAAGCAAATTCTTCGCAACAAAAAAAAATTAACTGTATTTACAAGGAAGTTACAATTTATGATGATCAAACTCCAACTCTCACTAAACCTTGGCTTTTTGACAATTTAGTGCATATTCTAGACTATTACTTAGAGATCAGATTGAGTAGACGAGATGATTATGTCTGCATTTATATGTGTAACCATTTGTTTAACAATTTTTCTATCTCTAAACTAGACATCAATATTGTCGCCATGTCTACCAAGTCACCATTGTCACCTGTGATTGAAACTTTTTATTTACTTCACCTTTCATTTAGGATGTATATGTAGACCTCCTTAATTGAATACTGATGCAAACAAACAACTGTTCGATACCATCGCGTATCAGTCAAGCGTTATTGAAAACATAATTATCTTGATAAAAGATAAATTAGTCTGTTGCTGTCATCGATGTTACTCACAGTTCTACATAATATGACTTTTTTGAACTCCTGTATGTTTCAAATTTATCTCAACTAACTGACATAAAACACACCACAGAAATGAGACAACCCCCAAATCCAAAAGCCAAAGGCTTGTGCGGAAGGGGGCTACACTTGAAAAAACGCGGACAAACACCCCAACACACTGTTTCGATCAAATCAAAATCCTCCTACGCTGGATCTTCTTACACTTGATTAATCTCTTAAATAAAAAATTGTTTATGAATTGGCAATTGAGATCACTCTGTTATCACTGCTAATCTCCAGATTCTTTATTGCTCCAAATTTGATAATAAAACTTTTTTAAAACAAAAGAATTAAGTACACGTGAGTTGTTTATCCGATTATAGAACATAACTGGACTATTTTCTTGTGATTATGTTAACTATGCTTGGTCCCTTTTTGTTATGCTGTTAGTAATTATGTCAGCTTTAACAAGATTGTATTCAAAGCTCGTAGCAGTCATTTAAAACCTTGGCTATGATTTACTTAGTCAAGCTCGCTATATAGAGAGAGAGAGAGAGAGTGTAGGGGCAAAAGTATAAGAGATCTGGACAGCACGAAGACTATGAAGCGCACTGGAAATCTAATCGCCTTCAATTCAACATTGTCTAAAGCTAAAGCTCTTTATTCATATCTACGTCAAAAATTTCTATGCAACTCATTTGTAGCAGTATATGGAATATTTGTAATTCCCATTCAGCCGGTTCGAATCAGTTTACTGAATACTTTAGTAAAGCCTGATTGGCATCTGCCAACTTACAATGGATTTAGAAACCCCATTTCTCTAAGTGATATCTTTTGTATTGAAGATGTAATTAAGTTATTAAAAGATCTAAAAAAAGTTTCTGCACACGGAAATTACGACACCTCTCAAAAAATTGTAAAAAATTCTGCCGTTGTGGTCATACTGCTGGTGTTGATGATGACCCAGGTCTCTGGTAGGCTGTCCCGAGCCTGCTTTAGGTCATCCATCCAAGTTCCAGCCTGCGTCCGTGATGCATACTTCGGCCGATCGAAATCCATCGGCCAAGACACCCGGCTAGGCGGTCCCCTGATCAGGATATAAATTATAGTGTGGTTTACGGATGGAGAAGTTGAGCTGAGGCCCAAATAATACAGAAGCTACAACCTGGGAGCTTCCCCGGATATTCTAAGCAGAAATTTTGTTATAAGTGCATGTTTTATGGAGGATTTGTGGAGGGGTTACACATAAGTTTATCTACGTATTATGAAATTCAAAACAAAGATCAAGTGCAGCAATCGACCAGCAGATTAAAGTCTGCTACTCGATGGGGTTAGTTTAATAAATCAGAATTGCTTTGGGACTCTCTGGATAATTGACCCACATGGCCATAAGATAAAATTATAAGCTTTGCTCCTCGAAAATAATGCAATATAATAGTTACATTAAAAAAATAATTAAAGAAACCATTGTGCCAAAAGGATTAATCAAAGGTTGTTTTATGAAAGTATGTTTGCCTAAGCACTAATGTTGCATTGGCAAAATCAAATTAAAAAATTGTAATTGCACGTATCTAAATCAGCTCCAAATATGTTCCAAAAAGAAACGTCCTTTCTCTTTAATCTTAAGTTAGGATACTGATAGCTTGTTGAATATTTCCATTTTGCTCTAACAGCTACTTGTTGCTCTCAAACAAAGCCTTCTTGAATTTCCGAGGACGTTTTGTTTCTCGGACGGATGGTTATGAAATTCGGTGTTCAGAATACCTATCCATAATTATAGTTCTTGGTAACCAATGTGCCCCAAGATTCGACTCAGTTTCTTTCTTAAGAAATTTGGTTTGTTGAAGGGCAATAAAGTTGATGTGCTCTTAGATCTTTAGAATTAGATCCCTGTGTAATTCCTTACGTTATTTCTCAGCTTTCGTTATCGGATTGTTTTTTGCCTTCTTATACGCCTATTAGGTTCTCCACATCAGTTATAAACACTGTTGTGCCCAAGATAACGCATGTTTTTTTCTATTCAGGTTCGATTTTAGTAATAAATATGCTGCCTGAAACCTTACATAGCGGAAACATAAACACATGGTTTTCTCTTTTCTCCTTTTATTTTTCTTCAGTTTCCTTAAACATAGAAATGGAAATTAAATACTAATATAAATATTGAACAAGCCTTCTGTAGGAAATCTGAGTTCAAGGAGGAAATAGAAGTAACATTTGGCAGTAACCTTATACACAGTTACAAGAATGAGACCTTTTAGGAAAATACTTCAAACACCTCAAGCAAGATTAGAGCAACCTTTCTCAAAACGAATTCGGAGGACGATGCAGCCCAAGGCCCGTTATGCATGTATACATTGGACAAACAGAGAGCCACGTTTGAGCAAGATAAAAGCAGCCTAATGTGTCACCTAAGAAATAACAATGGAAATAAATCAGCAATTGCGAAGCACAAGGTCCTCAATAGACTTATATAATAATACAGTTCTAGTAAAGGAGATACAGTTTTCACCAAGATTCCCAAGATAAGCAATATAAATCTAGAAAAACCAAAATAACCTCATTGAGACGATAAGTTTTCTCAAAAAAGATTAGAGTGCAAAATCTTCAGTTTCTGATGAAAATATTACGTCTCTTGAAAAATTAATAAATCTAAACCAACATCGTGCTACTACCACCAATTTAGAGAAACGTTTGCGTAGGTACACATCTGAAGAAGTCTCGAACTTAAGTACTTTTTTTGTTTTAGTGCTGCTAATTTCTCTTTTGTAAGGCTTAATATTTAAATATACTTGTAGCTGCTGTTTTAATACATGAATTGGTACAGATAAAATGTGATTACAATAATGAAATTATATTGGCAGTATTTAGTAGACTTACGTGAGTAAGGAGGAGGTGCTGCTGGAAATATACCAGATTCATTGTTTCGTTCCGACTGGAAAGCAGAATTCACATACACGTCAGAAAATGAATCTTCTGAGTTCCTCTCAGTTTGTCTCCTTGCAAGTCTGTCTGAAACAAATTGTTCTAAATGTATAATAAATCAATTAATATTTCAATAAATTTAGAAAATAATTAACTTGGATGAGATATCTCTATATTTTGACCCAAGTCTATGGATAGTGCTATTTCAGTAGTAAATTGATATATTTGAATTTAGTACAACCTTCGTTATTATTTTTTTTTCTATCGAAGACAGTACAGGTTTAAACCAATTTTAAATAAGTATCTTTCTGATTGTTAAATGTGAAATAGTAAATCAGTACTAATGGAACTTTATGAAAACAAAATCTCTATCGACATATTTATAATGTAAGTACTAATTATTTGTAATTATTATAAATACAAATTGGTATGTTTGTCATTCCATTTTGAGTTCGCTTTAAATCTTATTAAAAATTGTCTAATTGTAAATCTTAATCTATTTGTCTGTAAAACTATTTGCTAAATATCGTCGTAGGTAGTTTATTTTCTGTGCTACCAAAAATGTCAATAAAGGATTGTAGCATTGTAATGATAATCTGTGTATGATTATTTTGTGTACTTTCCTGCCCGTAGATCAGCCCCAAATAAAAGGGTTATTGAGTATCAAAAAATGTATACTCATACTGTTTACCCAATTTCCTTACAAGATTGATATAAAACTTATTTTCTCTTCTCATACATGCGAAAGTAAGAATTTTCTCATGTTTTAAATTATGTAAAAGTGACATTTTCTTCTCTTTTAAACCAAAAATGTTCCTTAACTGGAACAATTAAATACATTTTCATAAAACATTTAACAAAAATTAATCGGCAGTTATTCTAGCGACACAAACTTCTATATTAATCACTTTTTAGTCCAGACAAGATATAATTTGTTCTTACAATGATTTATTAGTCAGTAAATATTTGCTCTTTCTGTCGTCATCCTAACGTCAATTTAGTATATGATATTGATGACTTTTATACCATTTACTAAATACAGAAGAAAAAAATATATGAATTAGACTTGTGGTGAACTTAAGGAGTTTCATAATTTAATATCCTTATTTGTTTGCTGACTGTTAACAAAATATATATTCTTTAATTTCCTGGAAACAAAAGATATAACGAGCGTTCAAATAAAAACGTGGTCAAGTTGGTTCTGAAAATTTGGACGTAGGGCGTAGCGTATAGCAAATGAACTTAAACGTCATCTGTCAAAGCGCTATATCGCCGCTATCAATTTGAATATTTTCGTTTTAAAAAGCGTTTAAAATGGTGTTTTCTCAAGAACAAAAAGTGTTTATCATAGAGTCCTACTTTAGAAATGGACGCAAGATTGATGGAATATGGAAGTATTCTATTGAGGAATGTTTCATAGAATTTCAAAATCAATTTCCCGGCGTTGTTGAGTACAAAATTTTTCAAAGTGCAGTTCAGCGTTGTGTTAATGTTTTTCGTGAAACGGGCAGTGTAACAAGAAAAGAAGGAAGCGGCCGACCTAAAAAGCGGACTGAAGAATTAAAAGAAAATGTCCAACAAATAATGGAAAATGCGCCAAGAACTTCTGTACGTGTTTTATCACAAATGGTGGGAGTATCAGTCGGTACCTGCCACACAGTGTTAAAAAAAGATTTGCGTTTGTTCTCCTATCGTTTAACTTGTCAGCAAGAACTTCATGAAGTTGATTTTCCGCGACGGGCTGTATTTTGTGAATGGTTTTTAAACAACTACGGTGAACTTCATAATATCACCTTTTTTTCTGATGAAGCCTGGTTTCATTTAAGTGGTTACGTAAACTCACAGAATATGAGAATGTGGTCTTCTGAAAAACCAGATAACTTTTTTGTCGAGGGCCCTCTACACGCTCAAAAAATTGGAGTTTGGTGTGCTCTCAATCGAAGGAGGATTTATGGACCTATTTTTTTTAATGGTACTCTTACTGCGCAAAGGTATAGAGAAGAAATTATCGCTCCTTTTGTTAACCAGCTGGAAGAAAACGAAATTACAAACTTTTACTTTCAACAAGATGGCGCAAGGGCACATACGGCAGGCGAGACGATGAATATGTTGAGGGAAGTTTTCCAAAATCGACTAATAAGTCTCAATGCTGAACATGAATTTCCACCGAGGTCATGTGATATTACGCCGTGTGATTTCTTTTTGTGGCCTTACCTTAAAAACACTATTTTTGAACTGCCTATTCCTGATTTAAACCATCTGCAGGCTCGACTTATAGACAAGATTCGTGAAATTAACAATACCCCGAGCATCTTAGAAAATGTCTTTAATTCTTTGAGGAACAGGTGTGAAAAGTGCTTGGAACAAGGAGGGGGACACTTTCAGCAGCTGCTTTAATTTATTGTTATAACAAGGAGGGGGACACTTTCCGCAGCTCCTTTAATTGTTTGTTATTGTTATCACGATTATTCTTTAAAATAAAGTTATATAGTCATTAACGTTATTGAAACTGACAGCTGCTATACAGCTCGTTGAGAAATGAGGTTAAGTTGGTCGCTATAAGCTACTCCCTACGTCCAACGTGTCAGAGCCAACTTCGACCACGTTTTTATTTGAACGCTCGTTATTAGTAAAATTAATAGTATAGAAATACAGAACTAGATTTCATATGGATACCTGGAAATACACTTCAATAACGACACGAGTGCTACACTAACATTACTAGGTATTTAAAATATGTTTAAGAATTCTGTTCTGAAGTAGATAAACGTCGCTTTGATATACGGTGTATTGTTTTATTAGACGACTATCTATAAAACTATTATACCTATCTTACCATGTTTTCGACAAGAATTATTTACCATTCTGTGCACTAATCCACAAAATGTTACTATAAACGCAATGACCAGCACGCACAGAAACAATGCATCTAGAAACATCATAAATAAATCACAGAAGGCACTTTTTATACAGTTAATAACAAAAACATGATTCTTACATTGTTTTCCGTATTTAATAATTAATAACGATAATTTCCTTTAATCATCTGATTAGATAAATTTTTATGACGTGACATCTTCTGTCTGATAAAATTCATTGGTGGATTACATTATTCCAGTTTATTAAAAACGCTATTTTCTCGATGAACCTATTATAAGTATAAATAAAATGCATAACGTGGTCCGCGCTTAGTGAATTTCTATAGTAATTACAATTGTAAAATAACACAGTTTTAGTTTGTCGATTCATCTTTAGACAGTAAACTATATTTAAGAGGCATATTACACCTTGTACTCGTATTTATTATCTTGCTAGTACACTCCACAATATGCAACTTACATTACAATTGTCATTTACAGAGTCGTAATATTACTGATATATTTTATTTATATAATTAGAATGGTACCGTAAACAAATACTCGCAAACACCTTAAACATATACTTGCAAGCAGTGGCAGAACTATCGTACGGAAAGAGGGAACAATGAGGGGTGCAGGCTATTAGAGGCCCAGAGACCTTCTCCTAACTCCACTCAACACTAAAAACTTAATACTTTTAATTGGTGTATTATACAAAAACAAAATAAAAACTTTTCAAGGTCAAAAATTTAGAGGGATCGAAATTGTAAATAAAAAATTTTCAAAGTCAAAAGTTTAGAGGGATCGAAATTGTAAATAAAAAATTTCGTTGGCGCTAAAGCTCCATGTAGTGTTCGAGTAGTTTTAGAAAATTGTATCTTTTATACAGGGTAATTCATTAATGGCGAAACTTGGATCTAGAAATACTAGAGAATAAAATTTGACGATTGAGCCAAACACACCATAAACAGTGTTGACGATTTAATTTAATTCTTGCAGATTTAAAATTGTCAGTTTTACGATTTTCAGCATAACAAATAGTAATTTCGGACTAATTTTGGCATAGCTCATAGGAAGCACTAGTTGCACTTTATAGCTTAGGTAAATCAAGGAAACCATTTTTCCCTGTATTAGGTACTATTATTTTCTGTCATAAGGGCCAGCTGTCTGTTTGTCGGTTAAATCTATATTATGTCACTTACTTATGTAGAAAAATATAACAAAAAGATGTATATTTTAATGACACAGATTTATTAGGAGGTGAAAAAATAAGTTTTTTGACTAATTCATGTTAGTGCGAATACGAATATAGTTCTGCAAAAGTAGTGTTCGTGCGAAATTTTATTCATAAGTATTACAGAAAAATTCTAAAAAATTTTTTCTTGGTTGTCGTTGCCATTTTACTTCGCGTTTTTACTAATTTTTAAAATTTGTATATTGTTGTTAGTTATATAAAGTCTTCCAGACCTGCAAACAATTTAAAAACATATTATTTGTTATTAATTAGATTAACACTTTTATTTATTTTTTTTGTTATGTATGTTATTTAAAACGGTAAAAATAATTATTTTAAAACATAAGTTAGTTTTATTTACAGTTAGTAACATATAAATAATATAAAAAATTAATTTCCTTTTTTTAAGCTTTAGAAGGTTTTTTTATTGTTCTGCGCCTCGTCCGCACTAATATCAAAAAAACATGATGACTCTAAAATCACACTTCGCTAAGCCGTTCAAAACCAATATGTTTCATTAAATTATGTTCCATAGAGAATTAGAAAATACCAAATAAAAAAACTATAACATTCAAGGAAAATACTCATCAAAGATTGCCCCCTGAGTTGATGTGTTCTTTTCTGAGAACCTTGGCCTCTTCGAATAAACACTTAGCTTCTTTGAAACATTACTCTTCAATATACGAGGGTGGTCTGAAGAGTTTCCGACCTCAACAAGAAGATGGCAGCACTCGTAAATAAAAGCTAGTGAATTTCGTTGTTCATCTGTTGACAGTTACTCACCAAAGTTTCAGCCATTTTGGACGCGCAGTTGTTATGTAACAGTCGTTTGAATGAGTTGATGTGAGTGTTTTTATGAAAATGGACAAAATCGAGTATCGAGCTGTCATTAAATATTTGTTTTTGAAAGGCAATACGCCTTCTCAAATCAAAGATGAGTTGGATTCTGTGTATAGGGACTCTGCACCATCATTTACCACAGTGAAATTTTGGGC